TTTTTTGCTTAAAAATTACTTGTTTATTAATTTTTTACATTAAGTAATTTGTGTACCAGCTCTTCGTTGATAATATGATCACTTCGTTTGATAAGATGTTGTAAATTCTATATTTATTTAAACTGTTCCGATTTTGAATAAGTGGAAAGATTTAAAAAAGCTCCCTAGTAAAGCTTTCCCAAACACTTTTCGTTTGGAACCAGTTATGTAATATTTCATTTAATTTCAATATTTTCAGTCTTTACTTTTAGATAGGTGATAATCCTATTAAAAATATTTCCAAATCAAGATTTCTCAAATACCTTTCGTTTGGCACCCATATTATACCTCAAACATATTTTCCGCAGTAAGCCTTCTTAAATATCTTTGTATATATAGATATAGATTTCTAAATAAAGATTTCTCAAATGCCTTAAGTTTGTTACCTATATTGTTACATTTCATTTATTTTACCAATTTAATTGAGTTAAATTTTCAAACAGGTGGCAACCCCCCTCAAACAAATTTTCTACTGTAGATATTTTATAAGCTCTTTAGTTTTATACCCTCATTGCAATATTTCGTTTGTTTAATCAATTTAACTGAGTTCAAATTTCGAAATAGGTGGCAACCCTCCTCAAAAATATTTCCAACAGTTATCTTTCTTAAACTTCTTTAATTAGATACCCATATTGTACTATTGCATTTATTTTATCAATGTAATTTAGTTTAGTTTTCAAACAGGTGGAAACCCTCCTCAAAAATATTTTTGACTGTAAGCCTTCTTAAAACTCTTTAGTTTGATACCCAAGTGGCAATATTTCATTTTCTTTATCAATTTAACTGAGCCAAAATTTTACAATAGGTGGCAAACCGCCTCAAAAATATTTCCAACAGTTATCTCTCTTAAACCTCTTTAATTTGATACCCATATAGTAATAATTTACTTATTTTAATTTAATGAATACAATTGAGTTTAAAATTTTTTAAATAGGTGGCAACCCTCCAGTTTTTTGCGACACCATTGGTCCACCATTATACCAAACAATATAAAATAAAAATGTTTCAAATCGGTTCAGCCGTTCTGGAGTTTTGACGACCGTGACATACGAGCACAACATTTTTATTAATATAGATTTCGTTGATAATATGATCACGTCGTTTGATAATAACTATGTTGTTAATTCTTTCTTCATTTAAATTGTTTGGCCTTTGGATAGGTGAAAACATTTAAAAAATTTCTAGTAAACCTTTCCCAAACACATTTAGTTTGGTACCAATTATGTAATATTTCATAAAAATTCAATATTTTCAGTCTTTACTTTTAGATAGGTTATAATCCTATTTAAAATACTTCCAAATCAAAATGTCTCAAATACCTTTCGTTTGGTACCAATATTGTCATTTTTAATTTATTTTATCGGTTTAAATGAGTTACATTTTCAAAAAGGTGGCAAGCGTCTTCAAAAACATTTTCGACCCTAAGCCTTCGTAAAAATCTTTAGTTTGAAACGCACATTGCAATATTCCATTTATTTTATTTTAAAATTTTAAAATATGTGGCAAACCTCCCCGAAAATATTTCCAACAATCATCTTTCTTAAATACCTTTAATTTGATACCTATATTGTAATATGTCATTTATTGTATCAATTAAATTGAGTTAAATTTTCAAATAGGGGCAACCCTCCTCAAACGTATTTTCAGCTGTAGCCTTCTTAAAACTCTTTAGTTTGACACCCACGTGGCAATATTTCATTTACTTTATCAATTAAACTAAGTTATAATTTTTAAATAGGTGGCAACCCCCTCAAAAATATTTCTAACAGTTATGTTTCTTAAACCTCTTTAACTTGATACCTATATTGTAATATGTCATTTATTGTATCAATTAAATTGAGTTAAATTTTCAAACAGGTGACAACCCTCCTCAAACATATTTTCGGCTGCAAG